AGAAATCAATCGGAACACACCTCGGGTAACTTGCTTATCTCGCAAAAGTATCATTAATGAAATGAACCGATATTTATCCGAATGCATTCGGGTAAAGGGAATAAACTCTTCCTTTGCTTCGTCTGCTCACTGTCAAAATGGTTGAATCAAAACGATTACGTTTTACTCGGTCATCTATTCCAGGTCTGAATGAATGATTGTCAGTGAGATAAATTCGTTGTCAACCGATTTTGAGGGTTATATGGTGGGATGTAACCTGTGTGTGACGGCTCTGGGTACATATTACCATTGGCCCGTATGTCGCTTCCGACAGCTTAGTAATGGATGCTAAAGTAACACCAACAACGATTTAATCCAGGAAACATTGAGACTGTGTTCGACATGAATTCCGATGTCTTATATACATTGTGAGTTCAGGAAATATAGATTTTCTTTTTGGAAGTTTCGCCCTGGAGACAATGGCCGGCGCTATAACGCTGAACACATTTACGACAGAAGCCTCACTCGAGCTTTCGAGATGTTCTTTCGTCTATTATCTGGACCTAGTCTCGCAGCTGCCATTCGTGACGTTAAAGAAACTCTGTGTTACAATCAGCTGCCTGATTTAACTGCACATAATGTTCGACTATTGTAAGTTGTGTATATTTTTCTTCATTGCCATCATATTCTATACTGATATTGAACATTGTACTACCACTCTATTGTGTACTGCCATTGTAATTGCTGTGCAATAATTTGTGTTGCTTCGTCCTGCATGGCTCAATGCAGCAAATCCTTTCATTTTTAGTCAATGTAACTTCGCCCCAAGATGTGTCAAAGTCTTCTGCCTGTGATATGTACAAGCAAAGTCATCTGAAACACGGTTACATTGGCTTCCGCTGTACAGCCTTTCCTTCTCTTTATAAAACAATGCCGGTGATTAGACGGGGACTGTATCTAGTTGAATGTTTTCTGAGTTCCCTAAAATCTTTCTTTCATTGAATGAATATGGCAGGACTTGCTACACTGAGCCATGCAGGACAACAGTAATAAGGTGTTTTATCTAAGAGGCTCTGACCAAGTAACAAGACGCTTGTTCAGAGCTGAGAGGTCCACATCATATCTGTGTTCGATGTTGACTCCTTACATAAGCATTACACAACATGTGTGATCTTCAAAGCCATACTAAACATAATATAATATGTATTAGTAGTGGAACATTTTAAACATGTTGTTGCAACACTTGTCCCAAAGAGAGGAAATAATAACATTTATATAAATCATATCTCACCGGACAGCCGTCTTGTCCACTCTCTGTATACCCCTTTCCACCACGTTCTGTTTAAGAATTATGCTGTAAAATATTATTCAATAGGCTGACTCGCTCTATTGGTATTGAAATCTAATCTATAAACCGTACACTGAATATGTATTGTCCTCTAAACACAGGGGAGGAAACAAGGTGAATGATGACTTTTCATCGACACAATGATTCCGAAACACTGCCGTATTGATAAACTACAATCCGTTGCTTGTGTATGCATTCGATCGGGATATCTAACTGACTTTCCTTGTTGTGATGTGAACAAACCAACATTAAATATAGTCATTGAGTCATATTCGAAGGGGGGCACGGGGGGGCCCAGTCGTCTAAGGCGCCACGATTCGCTGTGCAGAGTTGCGTCCATTGGGCACGATAGAGACCTACGATTGTGGGTTCGAATCCCGATTCGCCCCGATTATGTTTCTAGGTATGTCAGCAACAGACCTGTGGTCGTTGGTTACACCGAAGTTGTAAACGTCTGAGACCTGCATCACTTCGGGCTCTCCTCCCACATTAGGCCAACATGCCGCGATATAACTGGAATACTGTTAAAAGCAGCGAAAAACCCAACTCACTCACTCCCTTATACTAGAAGGCAGGAAGACTTCAAATAACGCGTGGCCTAAATACTTCACAGTTGAATTCCCTTTCAGCTTACGTCAGCATAACACAAATTTGATAAAAGGCATCGCAAAAAAACACAATTGCTTGACTTAACATTGTATCGTGCCGTGTGTTTACATTATCCGTTGAAGATAATTTTAGTAGGAAACTTAGTGCAAGGTAAAAACATTAGGTAAAACATTATGAAAGCAAGCATTACATAAAATCACACCAACGGTGAAAGGTGCTAATCTGTTTAAAAAGGTAGTCCTTAAACTGGTGCAAACCACGTGTTTGACTGCATGTTTCAAATGTGTCTTAGGTGAATGTTAAGGGTGTCTGCTGATGTTGTGTTGACTCTTTGAAGTGTTTTACCGGGGCGGTCGGGTAGCCTAGTGGTTTTCAACAGAAGTGGATTGTGAAAGCGAGCTCTGATCTGGATACTATCTATTCGCAAACGTCACTGATGTCATACACAGTCATGTCAATATTAATGTCATTTCTCTAATGTTGAACTGACCTCTTGTCCCTCTTAGTGTTACTGCATTTTGTCAGAGTCAGGTAAAACGTTAGTTTTTAATGTTCGCTCTTGTTTTAATAAAACACATTGCTCTGTGGTGACAATGGCGCTCCTGTGTCACCTCTAGTGGATGTACTCTGACCACATTGACTGTCGAGCCATTCGCACATGAACCAGTCATTATTACGTTTGTTTTTGTAGCTGCACTCAGTAATATTCCAACTATATCATGACAGCCTGGTCTGGACCACACAAACCATTGACATATATTAAGGTTGATAGGGATCCAGGGTAACCAGGAATCTCTTCTCTTATACTTCTGCTAAAATCAATACTATTATTGCTACAATTATTGATGCGTGTCGATTCCCAAACTGAAACAATATGTTAACCCAGAAATCAGGCCATAAAAGAACTTAGTGTGAAACCAACAAACAACCAACAAGCGATGTACAACCAACAAATGTATTAAAAGTATTATAACTAGAATAACAAATCAATACAAATTACTACACAGAAATAAGAGTGGCATTAAAAAATGAAGTGGTAGTACAATAGTCAATGGTAATGAACACTATGATGATTTTGGAAAATAAGATAGCATTAAAATTTTGTTGACATCCATAGGGACATATGTTGATGATATCAAATAACATTGTAAAAAGTTTACATTATAATGAATAATATTACCTGTTGAAGTGTACTTTCTGATAAATATATTTTATTTGTAAAATACATCTACATCTACCTTGCAACAATTGAAGACAATTTCAGAAAGGTACTCAGTTTTTAATAGATAATAGTACAATATTGGTGTGGGTAGAAGACAACAGTGCTGTGTCGGTAGTGCTTCCTTAGCAGACTCAGCATACATTGTAGCTGGCAGTCTTTGATATTTAAGTTTATTTATTCACAACATTATATCCCAGTGCACCTTTGTTGCATATATCATCACGCTCTGCATTATTTGTCCTTATTCGTCGTCATGTAATGAAGCATTGCATCTGTCCGACACCAAAAATCCAGTATTTTTAATCCAGTAATCGTCTTTGTTAAACCATTTGTGGATATATTACAGCCTTGAGGGGTAGTCGACTTTAAGTTGTGACCGAAAACTCAAGTTGACAGGGTGGATATGCTCTTGGACAGCATGACAATGTGCTCACTCAGTTTAATGGGTGATAGTCCACGGATGTGTAGTTTGGTGTAACATTACGTCAGTGGGCTTCCCGTCTAACAAAGAAGTTGTGTTTTTGTGGAGAAATATCATGTGACTCCCTTTGTCGTTCTGAAATAAGGAGATTGTGATACCCTTTTATTGCCAGCCCACGAGAAACCGTTCAACACCCACGTATCATTGACGAGACCCTCACTGCAATAATTTACACCCTGTATTCATAGGGAATACATTTATCAAACAACCAGTGATCATTATACGAGTGTGTTTCCGTATCGTAAATACACTGTATCATGAATAAATCTTAATAGTTCGCGAGCATTTGGCTTTGACTACTTAATAGTCAAGTCCTCACATAAACACATCAATATGGTTTCTTTGCCAATACATATTGGGAAAATGAATGCAATAACACGTGACCAATTCAGTTAATCAAAATGCAGGAATTTCAATGAACACAATGAAAATTTAATTATTTAATATTTAAATCTCCTCATCAGTTCATCTATTATACCCAAAACACACAAAGTACACTTGTCAGTATTCATCTGTACGCATGATTTGCAAAGGTTTGGCGATTCTAAATGAAACTATACTTACTGGACCAAGACCTAGAACACTGAATGTTATGCGAACGATGAATCATTCACCAGTTTACACAATATAATTTTGATTTAATAAATAAACCTGCATTATAAGAGGTCAACTCTTTGTAAACAAACTTATAAATGAGACAGTAATTTAATATATCAACAACAGTACCAGAAAGTTACCAAAACGCGTATATTCAACTGAAAAGTGTTGTCACACATAACAATTTGTTATGCTATATGTTTACATAGTTACTAAAACTGTAAGTTGTAGCTCGGAAAAAGCGTGCGATTTTTGCTTTGAAGCAGCATTTTAGGGATTTATTCTGTCTCTCAGAAATGCACGTGCAGCCTGTAGTGCTCGTGGCGGGGTATAAGAGATTTATGCTTCGGCTGAGAAGTTTATTATCCTTTACAGTATTTGATCAAGATTCTGACAAGCAGATATGATAACATAAAATAACATATGTTTATTCTCCAAGGTAACAGTCATATGTAAACTAAAAGTAAACTAAAGGTAAAGACAGTTATCTGTTCACGAGCTATGTATAACTGTCCTTTGATGTCATAACTTTTCATGCTTCTTTGTGTATTCCCAGCATCTGGAAATGGAAGACAAATATTGAAGGGTGAATAAAATAATGGCATAGTATCATGTGAATACGGTACAGAAAGTGTCAGATTTGATACAAAGTATACGATAGGACAGAGAAGGAAGCATATGCTTCTGCTTGAGACTAAAATTCGCTTCGTGTATACAGTTTATATGTAAACTTACATATAGGTTTTCAAGGGCATAACTTTTTAAGATAGCAGCTACCCTAATGTTGAGCACGGGCGTTCTGATATGGAGATGCGTTGATGGACTCGTAAGACAAAGGAGGCGGCTCTGTCACATCTTCGTAGGTACTTGTCTCTGCTTTGGCCTCGACTGAAAATTGGATTCGAAACGCATTTACCCCAAAAAACATTCAAATGTTGTAAACCCTTCTGAAGGTAACACAACGTTTAATATCATGCCGGTATCCTGACAGTACCTTCAGTGAGTTGAGAATGATTGAGAACTGCCATAGTATATAAAAATGCCACAGTAGCCATGTACCGTTTGTATTCTGGTAAATCTTCAACTGTGTGTAATGTTGTTTATCCGATCCCTCTTTCTCCACGCCAGAGTTCTGAGCCCGACCACTGATGTGATCTATAATATAAGCGACAAAACCATTTCCATAATCAGGTTCATTACACAATTCCGATTATATGACTTTAAGAAATCAATACGAACATTTAATATCGGTATCAACGCGAAATAGTTCCAGGCATAATTGTGAATACTGCAATGTATCTGACGAGCAATGCTGACTTCAACCTACCCAAGGATGAATATCCTTTGTTTTTCATTTCTTCAACCTCTGGATTTCTAGTGCTACAAAAGTAAGTTAGGTCGGATTATATAATTTATTATTGAAACGATCGCCTTTGAAGCATTATGTTTGTTTCTCATTATAAGAGACATTTAATTCATTTTGAAAGCAAATTAATTCAAAACGTGTTATTAGTACATGTACGCTACCTTGTTCGTGAAGCAGTTCCTGAAAAGCAGAGAATGTTTATAAAGTACCTGTAATATAAACATCACAAAGTGATGACGAGGACATTTAGGAAATTTTGCAAATGTGAAATGGAACTAAAGATATCATTAATTGTGCATATATCAAAAGCCTTCTGGATATGCTCGTTCTTAGTCAACATTGATTTAGATGCATTGGTAACGTTCACTTCTACGAACAACAGTCATCAATATTAATTAACATCACTTTGGAATGAAACATACCTTCACTAAATATCGCCACGCCACTGTTTGAAATATAATAGAATACTACTCAGATTTAACAACATACCTTTCAAGATGTTTCCAAACCTGAACCCCTTCCTATAGAGGACAGTCAGAACTAGTCCTCCAATCAGCAGGGTAAGAAGGAGGGTTCCTATTGTGCTTCCTGCTATCACGGCTAGCGTGTAACATTCGACATTGAGTGGTTGTTGGTTTAAGGGGCCTGCAGTATAAAATGAGTATTGCATGACATAAGTATTGATTGAGTGTTTACTGACCACAAAGCTGACTTATTGACTTCAAGTTGTGTATTCTTTAAATGCAATATGTCTGATGCATTTTTCAGATAATGCGTGTTACGGACTCAAAGGTAAAGATATCCCTGACTAATTTCCATTTCCAAATCCAAATATATTCTCTAAAACAGTAAGGAATTATGAAACATATTGATCACTCTGAGCCACTAGTATTCTTGATTCTCATTATCTACAGTAACACGAAAGCTTTCAACGTTTGTTTTATGTGGTTTGTGACCACATCTGGAATGCGTCGTGTACAACGCGAAGAACGCATACGGACTGTTGACAGGCTTCAAACTGGAACAACTCCGCGAGATGAATCCAGTGTATTCGATGTGTCTCAGTCTGTGATTGGCGAAATCTAAATGGAAATGAAGTATCCAACACAACATGATTTCTGTCCCCTAGCTGCAGTGTCTGATTCATTCTGCACTCCAAATCCCGTTTTCGATCTAAGATGGCGAAACTGTGCTTGTGCTTCCTGCTATGGTCAATACACCAATAATAACATGGTCGGTGGACACATGACGCTTTTACAAAACAGACTAGGAACAGACACGGTGCGACAATGTTGCTGCATCCTATGCCTATATAATGATTCTTATAGATATCAAATTTATAAATGTAATTATATGATATGTTGCCTTACTTGTTTTGGGTTGGGAATGTTACATGGGGACGGGGAAAGATGTAAACTTATCACTAAAAGGAACCTTATCTTTTTATCACACATGCATCATCATATTTGTACACACAAACTGCATATATCATTATGAAAATATCTTTTAAAACATTCCTAACTGTAAATTATTCCACTAAATACGTTTGTGTTAGTCAGGCTCAATGGTCAAAGGCAGGTCAGGTCTGTCATGGGGACAGGCGGGAAACGTTGACCCAGTTTCGGTGTAGCGAGGTATAAGTACTTTTGTACAGCGTGAATAATTGACATATCAGCCCACAGGAGTAAACATACAGTACGCTAAGCAGTAAAGTATAATTCATGGTTATATAAAAGATGCTCACTCACAACTAACGAATATCGGCATGTCTCCACTCATCTACTTTTTTTAAAACAATAGTACAACTATACTTTAAAAAAAAAAGAAAACATGACACTGACTTTCAAAATTTATTATCATGCGATTGTTTCATAATAGGACACACAAACCATAATTGAAACACTGTTTGAAGATCAATGTACACGATGTTCAAAACATTAATCATGTCACCTAGACAGACACACGCACACGATACAGTTAATGTCACAGGGGTACAGAAAATGTCAGTATCGGTGGTGCCCACCACGTGCATCAATCACCGCTTGACACCTACGACCCATAGATGCAATCAAGTTGTCAAAAACACGCTGTTGGATGTGCTGCCATTCATGCTGAAGTGCTCCAAGAAGCGTTTGGGGCGGTGGATTCCTTCTGCGAACGCGTCGATCCAACTCGTCCAACAGATGCTCAATCGGGGACGAATCTGGTGACCGGTCTGGCCAAGGTAATGTCTGGATGTTGTTGTGCTGTTTGAAGTCCTGACAAACACTTGCAATATGCGGTCGAGCGTTGTCCTGCTGGAACTGTCCGCTATGAACGTTGACGTGAGGAAGAAGGTTAGGCTGTAGGATCAAGTCTCTGTAACGCACACCTGTCAATGCACCTGCCACATGCACGAGAGGCGTTCTACCACCGTGATGAATTCCGGCCCATTCCATGACACTCCCGCCGCCAAATGGGACAACCTGCTGCACACAGTTGGGGGAGTAATGTTCACCCTGACGTCTGTAGACACGTGCGCGCCCATCAGCACGTGTGAGTAGAAACTGGGACTCGTCAGTAAACAGTACATTTCTCCACCTTGCACCTGCCCATCTAAAACTCTGTTGGCACCAAATCAGACGATCCGCCAGATGACGTGGGGTCAATAAATGACGTCGAACAGGTCTACGTGCAAAAAGTCCAGCCTACCTCAGTCTGTTGCGTACCATTTGATCTGATATTCTGCGTACCCCAGGGATCTGTGTGGTTGTAGACGTTGCTGTGGTAGTGCGGTCTCGGAGGTGTCGCAGCCGGATGTATCGATCTTGTGCTTGGGTTGTCACCCTTGGTCTTCCTGACCTTGGTCTGTCGTCAACTCTGTTGGTGTTGTTGGATCGGGTCCACAGTGCGGAGATTGTCTGTCTGGATACGCCAAAGTGCCTAGCCACTTCTTGCTGAGTTGCTCCAGCTTGTAATCTCCCAATGGCGTTGTTCCGCTGAGCTGCATTCAGTCTTGGCATTCTGTCACCGCCTCTACTGCCATTATAAGCACAGTATGAACAGCCGTTGATGTGGATTTTCATACCCATTCAGCAGGGGGGCCTGCATGCCTAAATGCAGGATCCTGTGCTGCACGTTTTTTACAGTAAAATTTATCCCAAAACGCTACGTTTATGTGCTTTGCATGTGTTTTCGCGAATTATAGACACATCATCTTTCTGTTTGACTAATTTGGTTCTCATTTAATGTAATTTTTTTAGATATTTGGCAAAAAGTGGTTTTACATCTATGTCAAGTTTCTTTTTTTGAAAGTATATATAACTATTGCTTTAAAATATTAGTCATGTATTGATCAATACACTCCTCATATCGATAGTGAAACTTTTAAAAAACCCATTCACGGCAGCTTTCAGGTCATTGTTGTCATCATAGCGCTTTCCACAAAGGTGTTCCTCAAGTTAAGGAAATCACTTGGTGACAAGTCTGCCGAGTATAGAGGGTGATGAGGCTCTTCGAACCCAACTCCAACAGTCAGCACATCCTCGACGCCTTTCTTTGATAAAATCTCTAAGGCGATGATTTCTTTAGTGCCAGAGAAGTGGAATGGTGTCATTACATGGACTGACGTTTTGACTCGGGATCAAAGTGGTAGACCCATGTTTCATCACCATGTTCTGGACCTGTCGTAGGTGTTGCTCCATATCATACATTCTCATCTTCTCATGGATCAGAGGTCTGGAGAAACAGTCAGCCATGGCAGCGCATTATGCTTTTTAGCCTCAAAAAGTCCTAAAAAACTCGAACGATGGCGTCCCGGTAGCGAGCGCCATTCAAATTGCCATTAACAATGATGAGCTGTGTTCTCCCATGAGTTGTGACGCCACCCTTTACCATTACACTTCTACGTCAAACGTGACGACGTTGAATAACATAAACCCTTGAACGATAATTAGAGCAGCCCAGATGAAACCCCGACTCATCTGTTAACAGTATACTGTCTAAATCTTGTCTTCTGAAATTTAGATGCTGTCTTCACCAATTAGGCGTGGGAGTAACACTGGGCGTATCACTCGACGCTGGGACCGCTTGCGTACGATTGTTCCACTGAATGGTTTCAGCCCAGGAATTGTCAGAGCTGTTAAGGTGGCAGTTTGGTATCGATTCCGTAGATACACCAAATGAGTATGGTTGACTTGACGTCATGAACGTCTCCAAAGGAGATGATATTGTGTTTTGATGAACATAAAAATGTCTGGCAACTTCGGTTTGCGCCGTGGCAGAGCGTATGCGTTATTTAGGGTTCAACAAAAGTGGTACTGTAAGCACCAGTTAGCTGAAGAATTATTGTGTGCTGTTCTCATTCAGAAACATGAGTATGAGGATCACGTTCCAAACATACAGGCAATAATCAAAGGAATGTACAAATTGTCAATCATGAACTTAAAATCGAGGAGCTGCATTATTTATTTCAGAGTCAATCTATTTTTATTGACCATTATATGAAGCAGAGTTACTTTCACTGCTAGTTTATATTGTATCATGTTTGATGCATGCCAGTGTGATGATGTACGACGATTAATCAGTTGCAGTTCTCCATGTAAACAGTGGTCAGTGTTGGGTGTCCTTGTACACCATGCAACTTTCAGAGAGTTTGAATTACCTTTGTTTGGCGACTCTGTCTCAGAATCCGATGTTGTCTCCATGTATCGGGTCGTTGTTGATAATGATTGAGATGACATGACAGGACTTGCAACGTCTGAAACTAAATTTGTCACTGACTTGATTTCTGGGCATGTTCCACAGAAACATCGAGTAGTGTGTTTATAACAACTTATCACAGCCACTGGCCTCATTTAGCCTACTGGTGACACCCAGAAAACCCATATATATTTCCTTGTATACAAAGAGAAGAACAGATCCAGGTTCCAAATATATCAAATATTCTTAGACAACGATTTATATGTTGGGTAATAATCCTGATGCAGAATTCTTTGGAGTGTTTATCCAGTGCCTCGTGCCTGTCACTGAAATGAGCCTTATTGCATACTTTTATTTTTTAATAAATTTATAGTTATTATGATTATATTTTAAAATTTACTTTATTGCTCGAGATATATGATGAAACACAGTGATACTGTCATACCCACCTATTGTATAAATGTTGCTTCTCGGGTATATCTTCGTATCGTTAACAAGTTCTCCGCACTGCCACGCTGATCCTTGGTCTGTGGTGGAGTTAAATCTAAACGTCATACTATGGGTCGTGCTACTGCAACTCACATTGATACGGTTGATGATGTCATCCCCATAGGCGAGTGCCTGTTTATTACAATTAGGGGTCTGTTGAGTAACGACCATTGTTTTGTTGTTCTGAAGCCACCCAATGTTTATTGCAGATTCATCAGGGATGTGACAGATCAAGGTGAAGAGTTCTCCATCTGTTGCTGTTAATGGTGTGCTCGTCAGTACAAATTCACCTACGGAAGGAAAATATTAAAGTTATATCCAATAACCAGGAGAGCCGTCATTCGGTTGAAGTTCAAATATGTCAAAGAAATGAAGTAACCACTTTCTTATCTCAGCATATATAGCCCTGTGTTGGTTGGTTGGTTGGTTTGTTGTTTAACGCCGCACTCAGCATATTCCAGCTATATGACAGCACTCTGTAAATAATCGAGTCTGGACCAGACAATCCAGTGATTAATGTCATGAGCATCGATCCACGCAATTGGGATCAATGACATGCATCAACCAAGTCAGCGAGCCTGACCACCTTATCCTGTTAGTCGCATTTTACGACAAGCATAGTCACCTTTTACAGCAAGCATGGGTTGCTGAAGACCAAATCTACCCCGGAATCTTCACGGGTCTATAGCACTGTGTAAACTATGAGTGCCACTATGTTAAACTGAGATGATTGGAGTGATGGCTATTGGAGTTATAAAGTTGATCATGTGCACTCAGTGACATCTTAATTCACATTTGACATTTTATAGGGAACAGGGGCACGAATGGGCTGCATAGTGAGGGACCATATAATGGGTCATTGGCAGAAAAAGGGTTAAGGTGGTTGGATTACCTGGATGTTAACTCGATCGCTCATCACACTGTGATTGGGAACAAACATGCTTATTGTTCTTGAAAATCTTAATGCCATAAACCATGGGATGATCACAATTTGAAACTCTGTGGGTTTACGCGGCATGTTAGAGTTGTTTATGGGAGGTTGTGAACAAATATTTTGCATGATATTACAAGATATAAAATGACGTCCGCAAGATGGTTCGCTGGTTAACTAAGCAACAGACAGAAATGAAGACAGACAGTCAGTCAGGCGGCATATTTTAAGACTGTGAAAAGTAAACACATCTAAATAAACACATAAAGGCATTCATCTGCCTTGATATATTCTTTTTACATTTTTTTTGTTTATTAATGAGCAGTTTATTTTAAATATCACTAAATAAGTTAAAACAATATTATAATCATCAGATAACACAGGGTTTAAAAACGTATAACCAATATATTTTAAAACATTAAAACAAAATTATTTAACAAATCATGCATATAAAGCATAATAATGCATCAACTGGACTCACGCCAAAACGACAGTGCGTGGTGCAGCAAACACGAATATTCATGAAAGTGGAAACCGGCGTCCGGCAAGCCACTCGTGTTTGTGTTTTCTCGACTGTTTTAGTTAGATCATGTAAGGTCATGTAAGATCTGGTGGCATCGATTGTCCCCCTGGTTACCATTGACAAGATCAGCAGGAATTGGGGAAGCAAAAATAAGATTTCAACTTAATGGACAAAGGCCACACACACCTAAAATTGCACAAGTTCAATGACACGTCACATCAATAGCGTATTTGAACACCCCCTGCTACAAGACACGTAAAACCTCTCCAGCGCACAGGCAAAGTCATTCGTCTGATGACATCATTTAGGATACGTCGCCATTCTTCTTGGAGAGTGTGGACCAGTCCTTGTCAGTTGGCTGGAGGATGTGGTCGCTGTCGATCACGACGTTCCATGACACCCCAGAGGTTCAATGGGGACACGTTCGGGTAGCGTGCAGACCACGGCAACACGTTGACGTTGCTGTCTGCAAGGAGGTTCTGTGCGATTCGGGTCGTGTTGGGTCGGTTGTAGAAATATTCGAAAGATTCGGACGACGAATGTCATCCATGTAACGCTGAACGGTCAAATCACTGTTAACGACCAGTGAAGCCCCCTCCACAAAAAAAGCACGACCTCCTGAACAAAACATGCCGCCGTTCATTATTTCCTTCCGTCTGGTATCAGCTCTGAACAGACAGAACCGGCGTTCTTGGTACATATGCATATCTAAAGTTGACTTTGATTTGATTATCTATTCACTAAAGTCTTGTGTTAGGCTTAATGATGTTATCATTTTGCAATTTAACTTTCTGCTTTTAAAGTAAATGTATGACACAAACTGCAACACCCAAGATATTCAGAATTTGAAATCAGAACATCACCAGCAGTATTGACATACTACAAATTACTGCGGATCATAATTAACGTCAAAACGATGTATCACAGTTTAGAACACGACATTGAACACGAAACATACAATCTAAACCTCGTTTGAGCTGAGTCACTCTTAAATACTTAGTGGATTGAGTAAGTGAGTGCCTTATGTTTAACGTCACTTTTACGCGACTTTTAGCAATATTCTAGCAATCTAACGGCGGGGGACCCCAGGAAAGAGGGGAATCGGAACCGCGACGAGCGAACACTTCAACCACTAGGCTACTCCGCCGCCCCACGTCACTTTGAAGAGTATTTGTAGATCTTGTCAGCACAGTAAACTAAACAAGATATTGCAGCGTACCCTAAAATGTGTTCAGATCCTAAACAGCTTTTGTCACCTTGTGGCCTGAACATGACGTATAATTTTAGATCCTGAAGGTCAATCAACTCTAAACGTGAATGGGATATAAAGATGTATAGACCTCTAAACTATAAATATTCGGGATGTTTGGATCAGTTAGTCAGATTCTCTTTAATGTGTTTTGACATGCCAATCTAAAGTAGATTAGATTTCGGTTAAGAAAAACAATCCTAAAAAAGTTTCAAGCTAAACTTATTAAACACGTCTTTATAACCTAAACACATTTATCAGAGTAGTTGATAAGGCAGTTCTGTGAGACGACTTTACTCCATTACTGTATGAGATCCGGGTGGATGTTTCCTTTGTTTGTAAAGGAAGTGTGCTGCATTTCAGCTAAAAATAAGCATTGTTATGTTTGCATGCTGAAATAATGGTAAGACAACTAAGCTACTAACATGCTGGACGACTTCATGTCTGACTAAAACAGCCGATAGTTGGTGAAATCTAGATCAATACCTTGTGTGTTTCCGAGGATTGGCTAAATAAACAAGCAATGTGGCAAATAAACTTGCCGGCACCTCGTTATATATTGAGGAAGAAGTTTGCTATTTTTACAACGAATGAAATTCATCAGGCTGACCTCTGGTTTCTTCACCATCATTAAGGAAAGACGTATCAATATGTTTCAACCGTAGATGATGTGGCTGGTCGATAAAAAGAGGCTGAGCCATTAAACTCGACAGGTCTAACAGAAGTAGCTAATGCACTGAGCCGCATATATAAACGCGGACCACTAAAATGGCCTAAGCTATTTCAGGTAGATCCTGGTCGCGAGTTTATGGGATCAGTAACTAAACTGTTAACAAAACACGATGTCGAAATCAGGCATGGTGAAAAAGAGGCCCACCATAGTCAAGCTATCGTTGAAAGATTTAACCAGACATTAGCGGAACGTTTCTTTGGATATCAGTATGGGACTGAAATAAAATTGGATCGATTAAGATCAACCGAATGGGTGACACGATTATCAGCTTTTGTATCAGCGTTGAGCAATGAAGTAACGAGATTTATTGGGAAGAAACCATCCGATGAGATTAAAATGAAATCTGTGACTTCCGAATCTTCAGCACCGAGGAGATGCAAAAAACAAAAACTTCTGAATAGAGTAAGCGTAAGATATTTATACCAGCCAGGTGAACTCGATCTCATTTGGTCCCTTAAGATATATAACATTAGTCGATTGGTTATGAAGGAAAGAGAGCCTTTTCTTTAATATCTTAAAGATGGACCGGGCAGGGCATTTGTACGAGAAGAGTTGCCCATAGTTCCCAACGATACACTATTACCGCCATAACCATAAGCATAGTTAGTTACACCATCATTATCAATCCATCACTTTGTATCTAAGGGGGATAATGATGTCTTGTTCATTTTTTAATCCATATATCCTATGATTGACACTTCTTAAAGTGTTCATCTCGTGTTTGAATGTTCTACCATTGAATAATGATTCTTTATACTGTTCGAGCGTTTTACCACATACTTCTTAACACCATTGGCTTTTCTTATCTCCTTATTATCGGATTTCTTTATAGAATACATCTTAGGTCTTAATCCGACATACTCCGCTCTAGGGGTCCCAGCACATTCATCCTTCATCTTACCAAACACCTTTTTATTTACTACGCTGTGCAGTGGGTTATCTTTTGGGTAATCACGCGTGTCGTACATATCTATTTTTTCTGCCATATCTTTATACACATCCTCGGTTTGCATTTTTCATCAACAAAGAATCTGTGTCGGTATATAACACCTCGCATCTATCGCCGTACTGCTTCTTAAGTTCGTTGTAATATAAGTCATACATTAAGTGTTTTGACAATTCAAGAATACTCATACCAACGTACACCGGTCTGTTGAATTTTATAATACTCTTCCACATATGTAGTGTGGCTGAGTCCTTATCAAATATCCTGCTTCTGTTTAAAGCCGGACTGGCGATAAGTTTCCTGAGTCTTTCTTCCTCATTAGATCTGACCAATTTAACATCAACACGCTTCCTTAAATTCTCCATAGTTTTACCAAATACTGAGTTATTCATAAGCTGATATAGGTTCTTTTCGAAATCGCTGGTAGCTTTCTTTCTTAAATCTGTGTTCAGGCTTTTATAGGGCTCCATCCAAGGGCTTTGATAAAACTTACGAACTCTGTGTATTTTCTTTAGTTTCATACCTAACGATAGATATAACTGGAGATTTCCGTAGTGAACTATATATTTTGTCTTATCCATCAAATTTGGTTCGAGTTTTTCTACGTTAGCTAACCTAGTATTACCCGTAAAGGAGTGTTGATATTCTGACATCTAACCTTTATGCACCATTTATCTCTCGGGAGCTAGCGGATAAATGTTGTGGTCTTTATGTAACTCTGTTGGATATTCCAAGTCAACTTCTAGTATGTACCCTTTATCCGAATCTGTGGGGATATCATTCACATTGATCCACTCAAAACCACCCGTGCGTAAAGGTTGACTCATAGCCGATCGTACAAATTGTTTGCGTCGAGATATAATATATGCGTATCTGGTTTACTCGAATCATGTCCTTCCACTAATTTATTATTAGCCTTAGAATACCTTTTAGCCTTCATCGATATACCACCTCTTAATCCTTTCTCAACAAACAAGTTAATATCGTAATTGGTGAGTGATTTTTGTTCTACACCGGTCTTCTTCAACAATGCATCCAAAGATAGTACGGGACTGGAAAAGTACCACTCCGGGTCCAAGCCGTTTTGTTTTAAACATGTCATTCTAAATATCTCAAATATATATGCGAGTAACAGTACATCGGTTTTTAAGTACAGATCGTGGTGATCGCCTAAATTCTTACAACCTAATTTATCCCAGACAGCCAGGGCGTGTTCATAATCGGTTATTTTAGATTCCGTTAAGTTACTATATAATGATTCAAGGAGTGGTAATTTCATTTCGTCGAATCTAGACCAGTCATCCATATGCAGCAAATGTCGTGTTATCCTATCAGTATATTGATTTGTTATTGCAAAGTCATCGGGATTGTTCACATTAGCTAAATTGTCAAGGGAAGATAAGAGAAACGGTACGGAGTCTATGAATCTATGCCCATTACTTTGCTTTATTCTGGCTTTCCCATCCTTGTCCGAATAATGTATAGTTTTAGTCAACGAGAATGATATGTATTTTTCCATAATATTAGAAATGCACGTTAAGCCACCGTCGGTCTTTGAGCATGATGAGATGTGAATCATATCCTCTAAGATTGTGAAACACAACGGGGGTGGGTATTGTTTGAGAATTCATTTTTAGTTTCAAGTTACACTCGTTATGCGCCGCTCACCGATAATTACCCGTGACGTGGCATTGGTCTCTTACAAAATCCCCATTCAGGGGTTTATTTCAAACATGGCAACTCGTTGACTTCTTACAAGTCCTCCAATCATCTCTCGTCATACACATGGGTTTCCTCCGCGATAAATTTTCCCTGATTATTCTCTCTTCGTTTTGTAGATATTCTATCGTAAATATTCAACCAAAACACTTGAATTTGATGAATATTTATAAGTCATTAATTGTTTCCTGAAATGTTTATAACATGACACGTTAGATTAACCCGAATGTTCGTATGTCTGCTATTGACATAATGACCTGGAAATTAAGGGTTTTTTGCTGTTAAACGATTGGCTAAAAACATTACTGAAATGGGTAATAATCTACCATTGCTCTGTTATTTGCTGATAAATAAAATCGAATATATACCCAGTTATAATGAAGATATCAGAGATATTATTATTAAAATAAATTGGCACACATGTCACGATTTACAAAGGTTCCTAGCATGAAACTCAAACCACCTCCAATAATTTTTATGTTCGCTTTGGTCTTAACCTTGGTATGATTGAAAACATCATGATCAATTATTTTTATATGGTTATGTGCAGTTTTCTATCAGGAATAAATTGCAAAATATTCTTCAGTAGGCCCTTGTTTAATGAAGCACTGACCGTTTGACTTCACCCGTCCTCTATACAGCCCTTTATGCTAATACAAAGCAGCAGGCTAAAAGTAAACTAATTGCAGTTCTCCATGTAAACATTGGGTTTGGGGTTTTCTTGTACATGATGCACTTTTCACAGATTTTGAATTATCTTTCTTTGTCGTCGCTGTCTCAGAATCCGATGTAATCTCAATGTATCGGGTCGTTGTTGATAATGATTGTGATGACATGACTGGACTTGCAACGTCTAAAAATATATTTGTCACTGACTTTATAGTTGTGTGTATTCCATTGGAACATCGAGTAATACTTTCATGACTTCTTATTCAAGCTACTGGTCTCATTTTGCCTTGACACTCAGAAGATCCTTTATGAAGAGATGAGGTGAGCTGAGGTGAAATGGGGTTTAATGTCGCGTCCAAGAGTATTGCACTTACATAGCGACGTGTTATGAAGATATCAGAGGTATACTATTTGAATACAACGTGAAGAACCGACCCAGGTTCCAAATATACTAAATATATATTTAGACAATAATTTATCTTTTGGGTAATATGGTAATCTTGATGCAGAATGTTGTGGTATGTTTTTCCAACGCCTCGTGTCTGTCACTGAAATGAGTCTTATTTCAGACTTACATATTTTAACTAGTTTTGAGTTATTAATGATTATGTTTGTGACAGTTTACTTTATTGCTTGATATATATAATACAACACAGTGATTATGTCATACCCACCTATTGTATAATTGTTGCTTCTCGGGTGTATCTTCGTATCGTTAACTGGTTTCCCGCACTGCCACGCAGATCCTTGGTCTGTGGTGGAGTTAAATCTGAACGTTATACTATGGGCCGTGGTACTGCAACTCACATTGATACGGTTGATGAAGTCCTGACCATAGGCGAGTGCTTGCTTCATACAATTATTGGCATTTTGAGTAACGACCTTATCTTTGTTGTTCTGCAGCCATCCAATGTTTGCTGCAGATTCATCAGGGATTCTACAGGTCAAGGTGAAGAGTTCTCCATCTGTTGGTGTTAATGGTGAGCTCGTCAGTGAAAAATCACCTACGGAAGCAAAATAATCATCATTAAAGATTCATATATAGAACATCCAATATGCAAGAGAGCAGTCATTCGCTTGAAGTTCAAATATGGTAGAGAAGCGAGTCAACCACTTTACTAATCTCAGCATATAAAGTACTTTGTAAACTATGAGTGACACGATGTTGAACCTGAGATGATTGGGGGATGAAGGTTTTAATGTTGATTTTATGCACTAAGTGACATCTAAATTCACAGTTGACATTTTCTCGGGAACATGTATGGTCCAATGGCTGGGGCTGCATTGTGAGAAACCATATATTATGCATTCACAACATAAGTGTTTAAGGGACGTTAACGCGTCCGCTCATCCCACTCTGATTGGGAACAAGGTTCGTTATTTTTCTTGGAACTCTAAATGCCATAACCCATGGAATGATCACAATTTAGAGTTGTTTATTGGAGGTTTTGAACAAATATTTTGCATAATAATGCATCTACAGTGTGGGGTGCAGGGAACACGACTGTTCGTTGAAGTGGAAAACGGCAAGCGTCTTTGAGCGAAGTTTTGTCAACAGTTTTGGTTGTCATGAACGATCTGGTGGCATCGATTTTCCACCTGGTTACCATGTTTGATTCTACGATAAGCCCCTTCTTATCGACAACACAATTTCAGCTTTGGCCCAACTTATTCACTCGCCTATGATTCTAAACTGACGGCCAAAAGAAACTAATCATAGTTTTAAATCACCCAAGTTAAAAAAACGCCAACGATAGATGCATGAAGTAAAATGTACCGACAGGAACAACAAAATCAACATTTAAAACGACAGTCATGCAGCAGACATTGGGATAGCAAAGCAAGATTTCAACTTAATCGGAAAAAGGGCACACACATCTAAAATCGCTCAACTTCAATGACATGTCAAATTAATAGCATGTATGACCACCCCCTGCTACAAGACACGTAAAAACTACCCGGCAAAAAGACAACACCGTCATCTTATGACGTCACTTAGGATAAGTCGCCCTTCGTCTTGGAGAGCATGGATCAGTTCTTGTCGGTTTGCTGGAGGATGTGGTCCATGACGTCCCGGAGGTGTTCAAACAATCAATCTTTATTGTATGAAAGGCCATTGGCTCATATACACATACAGATAACCAATATCATTTACAGCTGTGCAGCGCATTATATAATTATTGGATAACTAATATGATGCTTGACATGTAATAGAGGTATTGTAATAACAGTGGTAATAACCACAGTGGCAGCAGTAGTAGTATAAAATACAAAGGGAATACAAAAGGAATGGAATGGAAATATGAAGTTTTACGTCGCAAAGGCTTTCAGCCATAGCACGACGTTCAATACAAAAGGATCTGTCAGTATTATACTCATCATGTCATGACAATTTGACAATTTGAATGTATATGCATTTCTAGTAGAAACAAACAAACAAAATGAAATGTAGATACTCCTGATCTAGATGCGAATGTTTCAAAACAACTTATTATTTCTGGACATATCGGATTTACTAAGTAATTTACTACGCACACATAGACTTTGATAGATGTATTGTAAAATCTTAGTTAATTTTTTGACTAAACATATCAATTGCTACCTGTTTAAAAGAGCTAAGAAAATACATTTTGTCTCCAACGCTTTGATTAAGCCAAACATATCCAAATCCGTGAGAGAAGAGTACGGGGGTGTTCTATGGGGGACATGTCTGAAGTAGCGCGCAGACCACGGCAACACGTTGACGTTCCTGTCTGCAAGGAGGTTCTGTACAATTCGGGTTGTGTTGAGGCGGTTGTCGAAATATTCGAACGAGTCGGACGACAAATGTCATCCATGTAACGCTGAACGGTCAAATTACCGTCAAAGATGACCAGTAACGCTCCCTCCACAAGAAAAGCACGACTTCAACATGCTGCTGTTCATTCTTTCCTTCAGACAGAACCGGCTTGCATCTGCCAATCACGTCGCTGCCAACGACGTACAGTCCGCGCGGGGCCATCTCAATCTGGCGACGATTTTGTGCCGTCAATAACTGTCCTCTGTAAGTTCTGTAAGCCCTAATTCCTTAAACCATGAGGCACCTTGCACTGCCGGTCGACTAACCATATACCTTAAGGCATTTATCGCTGAAGACGTCACTGTCAGGAGTCGTACAAAGTACGCAAGTACCGGTCTTTATAGGGCGTAGTTACCATGCACCTGCCTGTTCTTGCCCTGTCTGCCCAAGTGTCAGTCGTGGCATTAATGTGGCTTTTCCCATCAGTTTGAGTGTCTAACATGCCGTCATCATTTTTATACCCTTATTGCAAGTGTAGTTTCGGCTGCTGTTGCGGTACTTGTTTTTTTATCTTTTCGCATTTTATTTATAAAACGCGTCGTGGACGTGTATCATTTTCTGCATAGAGCATTTGTGTGTTTGGACGATATGTTTCACATTAATTCAGTTTATAAATCTGAACACTTTCTTGTTTACAGTGGTGAAGTTTCTTTTGGCTGTCAGTTTATATGGGTTGTAATAATGAGGATATTTTGCATGTGATTCCTTACTATTCCTAAGTAATGTTATCATTTCTTGGATGAATACCCGTAGGATATTGCTATAGTCGCAATATTGTTGTAATCTCACTGATACAACGTTATTAACTTATATTATCATAATACTTGCAAACGAAATTAATTCTTGTCAGACACAAGGGGGCACTGGTGGCCCAGTCGTCTAAGGCGCCGCGATCCGCTGTACAGAGTTGCGTCCCTTGGGCACGCCAGAAACCTATGATTGTGGTTCGAATGTCGGTTCGCCCCGAATATGTTTCTAGGTTTGTCAGCACCATACCAGTGCTCGTGGGTTTCACCGAAGTGTTAAACGTCGGAGACCTGCATTACTTCGGGCTTTCCTCCCACATGTAGCTGACACGCAATGATACAACTGGAATAATCTTAAAAGCGGCGGAACTCAACTCACTCACTCTTATACACACAAAAAATATTTGGTGTAGACAAAAAATTGAAGACACGATTATATGTAACACTCTATGTCACACTTGTTTCACTTTTTGTGTATGTTTGAGTTTAAGAGTGGTTTTTCGATTCAAGAATTGTCGTATAATCCCCTACAGTATGGATTGTATTGTATGTTGTCAATATAGTATACATCTAGGCAAATAGAGCAACCTTGCATAAACGAATTCTGAAACGAACAAACACTTAAACCTTACTTGCATGGGAAAATTGAACAAGACGATATACAAGACGAGTATGTGATATGTTAGTGATTGGGGTAGTGAGGAATTATATAAATTGTGAAATAAAGTAACCCTACTGAGGGGCCACATTCCTATATTTTGTATGAAACGCCAGAGAATGTCTGATATTGTCTTTGACTATGATGCAAACAATTGTCGTGTTACCTTGAATGGTGCAATTGTTGGGTTGTGAATCTAAAATAAGCTGTGTGTCGGCGACAGTTTCATCCTCATAATGTTTTGACCTTTTTTAATGTTGTGGTTAAGTGTATACCTTTTGCCCGATTAGTTACAGCGTATCTTAATTATATGCTATTACTGCTATTACTGCAATACCTGTGGCCCAGTCGTCTAAAGCGCCGCGATTCGCTGTGCAGAGTTGCGTCCCTTGGGCATGCCAGAAACCCATGACTGTGGGTTCGAATCCTGGTTCGCCCCAATTATGTTTCTAGGTTTGTCAGCACCATACCTGTGCTCGAGGGTTTCACCGAAGTGGTAAACGTCTGAGACCTGCATCACTCCGGGCTTTCCTCCCACATTAAGCTGACACGCCGTGATATAACTGGAATACTGTTAAAAGCGGCGTTAAACAAAAGCCACTCACTCACTTGTAATACTGTTGTGAATATAATATGTCAATCGTGTCAACTTTATTATATTGTTTTACTTTACAATAGGTTTCTTGACTAACATATACTGTATCTTGTGCGAATGACTACTCGGGAAATGTGCTTAGATGTAAGGTGTCGGCCATATCGTTTCAACCACTATTCAAGTAATAGTCCTTAACATGTAAATTATTGTACGTATGATGCTGCTCTTAATAATTCTGATCAACCATTGTCATACAATCCTTCTATTTCAGGTTCATCGGACGTTTTTTGTTCATATGTATATCAATGAAATATGTGAGCTGACTTTCTGTTCACTCAGGTCTTGTGTTAGTGTGAGCTAAATGCAATTTAACTTTCTGCTTTTAAAATTTAATGTATGACCCAAACTGGAAAACCCAAGATATTCAGAATTTGAAAACAGCGGTATTGACATATATGTGAATACACATCATTACTACAAATTACTGTCGAACAAATTTAACATAAAAACGGTGTATCCTTTGTGTATAAAGAAAGTGTTGTAGTCACACACAGGTGTTGTTATGTTTGCGTGCTAAACTCAGGGTAAGACAACAAAGCTACTAACATACTGGACGACTTCACGTCTGACTAAAACTGCCGATAGTTGGTGAAATCTAGATCAATACCTTGTGTGTTTCCGTATCGTAAAACTTGGAATAGTATTTGGAATAAAAAGTACCTCTTGACAGCCTGCAGTGAGGTAATACATATTTGTTATCCCTACATATTACTATTTAATACTTTCTGTTGAGTGAAACGCCCCATTTATGATACTGTTCCAAATGATTTGCAGCCATTTATGCTTATTTATAAACCTGTCATGGTGTTGTAACCATCTCCCAGACGACCTTTCTTTTGTAGTAAGACCACTCAGCAGGTTTTACAATTGCTCCCCAGGTTTTACAATTGCAATTGTACGTACAATTGCAATTGTAAAACCTGGGGAGCAATTGTAAAACCTGTCGTGAAATCCCGATTGCTGGATGGCATTTGTAGTTTCTCTAAAATGCACTTGAAAAACCTTTCAAATAAAAATGTCAAGAACAAGACCAAAACTTTATTTCGGCATGTTTACATTTAAGTGAAGTTGAATGTGAGGGAAATTGATTTCCCAGCAGCGTTAGAAACTGACTGGACCACGTTAACGGGATCTGTGGGTACCGAACAAGTTTCCGCTGGACAATCCATCTTCGGGGCTTTAGCATCAGACAACCTCTCTTGTGAACAGTCAACGACGCACGCGGTTCTTTCTGCACGTACAGCCCTCTTCTGCACGTGCAGTCCGCGCAGCGGCCCGCGATAACAACTGTTATAAAGCGTGTCTCGTTATACCGCGCTTATTTGCGACCCGTATACCGCGTAAATATTAGCTCCAAAAATGACATAGATTAATGGATAGCGGTTTATAAGTTGGACAAACCATTCCACCTCAGGACTGGTATGACTGTATAACCGGGTAGGCAAAGAAAAGCCTTTTCTGTGCCTACCCGGTTATACAATCATGCCATTCCTTCGGTGTCATGGTTTCTCCATTACATAATTACTCTCACACCGGGAAAGTACTTTCTAATCTTTAAGGGAACGTTATACAATAGTTTTTGGGCCCGTAAATACCACCGGGCCTACTAAAAGTAGTTCCCTCTAGGAGACCTCATTTGCAAACTAGGTATTTTTGGACCGTGACACAAGGTTTATCGGGTAGGTTTTTGGCATTGAAAACACTATCCATTGATGATCATGAAAACTTTCCCGTTATGTTGACACTAGACTTTCTAATAATGAGACAATGCATACCCCATTACAAACGATATATGACAGTCTATCAATGTGACTAATGATAAGCTTTTTTGTGGTTTACTGTAATTGACGCGGGGAGTCATGGGGCATAGAAATAATTCCACTTAATACAGCATAACAGTATGAGAATCCCAGTTGGAACGCTTGTCTACTTTATGGGTGGTCCATCATCTTATTAATATGTACATTCGTACTTGCCATTAACATGCTCCTCTCCCTGGATAACACCTATCCATATCCATATCAGTATATTCCACCAGGTCTTCATTGTAGCATCACACTGCCTAGTGAATGTCTTCCTGTATATCCTTCCTACACAACTTGTGATGTCCTAGACTGAATTATAGAATCCACTTCTCTCACCTAGAAAGAAACAGGAGGTCGTAAGCAGCATATATAACACTCTTCTACTCACAACAAAGCATGACTTGAGTATGGCTTCATACTTGATATCTATATATGATCGTCAATACTATTGCATTGCATCAACAGCATGACCTGGATATGAAACGTCCATATGCCCTAGTCCTACCAGTCAGGGATTAATATTATTTCCTTCTTATGCGATTCACACTTGACAGAGGAAGGACAAGAGCTTTTTTTAAAGGAATCCTGTGTCGTAACTCAGCATATGAACTAAATGTAGTTTTATCCACAATAGCTTATCTGTTCACAAGTGTCAATTGGCAACCCTTGTGTAAACCAAATACCGCTCCTTCCTGTTACTATTTATACTACACCAGCTTTGCTCTTTCCCCGAGACACCTTTGTAGTCTCGACAGTTAACAGAGCGTGAAAGTGTCATGTCATGGGGATTTAAAGCACGAATGGACCGGTAATAACACTGACGTTGTGCATGCATCTGTCCTTAGTCAATAGTATAAGTTGCTGTATTCTTATTACAACATGCTACAAGGCATTTTAACGTTGTATATACTAGCCTTGCTATGTTGTATACAAAGGCCTTGTAACGTTGTATATACTGGTCTTGCTATGTTGTATATGCTGGCCATATTGACAGTAACGGGTGACCTCGCCAAAATGAACACTACCAAGCTGACTGTCGTTCATTTCCCGATGAAGGTCAGTATGTCACGTGATAACGTTATACATCTAGCGGAGACATGCAATACTACTGAAGAGGAATTCCTCAATGTCTAAAAATAACGTCAAATAGGGACGGTATCATCATATGACAATTTCTTTTAGATTGTGCACATGCGAGCAAAACTGATGCCACAATCTACGTTTTCAAATAAAGAATGAATTTTGATCTATTTATAATATAATTGTTGTCACAAACATCTGTTTCTTAGTGTCGAACGCGTCGCGTGCGCTGAGCGAACCTCACTGCATGGCCCATGACATCACCGATAACAGTAATATAGCTTCAACTTCATTTTACAAAAGTTCCATTTTTCAAAGGGAAAAGACGTGAGCTATCATTTTTTTCTATTTTCATTTTGTTTACATGGATTTTGCTTCGGCCCCTTTTTCCAGTTGATCAGGAGGCAGGTTGTTCGAAATGGACTTAGAACATTCAATATAATTTGCAATATAATAATAACAGTTTTCTTTTTATGACATCTGTTTACATAGTACCGCTTGGGTTATAATTCACGTGACAGGTGACGATTCCGGGGTAGAATTGGTCTTCAGCAAACCATACTTGTCGGGATGCTATTAATCAGTGGATTGTCTGGTCCAGACTCGATTATTTACAGACCGCCATCATATAGCTGTAATATTGCTTAGTGCGGCGTTAAACAACAAACCAACATATAATTCAAGTGGTAGTGTCATTAAGTCAAAATGGAAAGTGCCTCACCTCAGATAGTTCACTCTCAGACAGTCTGTTGTGAGTTATGTTTGCAAAATACCATAACGTTTATAAATACTGGACTTGTGAGGAAAATGTGGCCTCTGCTTATCTCAGAAGTAGGAAGGTAATTCATGACAAATAAAACCGCATCTGAGCTAACACTCGTACCCGACACATGAGGTATATGGATGGATAATATAATAATCTGGGGACACTTTATCTCTTTGTGTTCTTATCAATTTGTTGAATATGAGTCAGTTTGTCCTCGTCATGCAAAATCTATTTTGGGGATGCATACAGAGTGAACACTGTGCTTAAATGATCATTATATTGATATAATGATATATACATGTATTGTCTGTATCCCATTGAGAAGAGATGCATGTAAACTGTTAACTGTAAAAAATATATTAATTCATCAGACCAATAGATACACACTTCAGCTATGAATAATTTGCACGACCGGAAGCTGGACGATATGGAGGTATTTCCACTATTTCTTATGCGTATCCTTCGCCGATCAGGTTATCTTACTGCTCTGGAAGTTTCCCCTTCAAAACAAATTGCAATCATCGTTAAAAAACTGTGATGTTTTACCGCACTCAGCAATATTACGGCTCTGTGACGGCAGTCTGCAAATAATCGAGTCTGGACCAGACAATCCAGTGGTTGACATCATGAGCACGTTATTGTGTGCGATATTATTGACACGGCTGAATATATAGAAAAATATGACTTAACATTTTTCAGGAGCTTGGTGAAATCTACAGCACACACAATTCGAACCATTTGGTGCGAATCCAGGATGTATGATTGATGGTTAACACAAACACTGTATCCCTTTACGCGACTTATCTTTTGTGTATTAAGGAAATGTCTTTTTGTCAAATATACATACAGGTAATGCAGTGCGTGCGTGGATTAGGGCGGTATGTTTATGTGTGGTGTTAATTTAGTGATTATAATGTTATCTTACTTCATTTAGATATACCGCTATTTGAATCGTTGAAATAAGAAAGATTGATAGGATTTGTTTTGTTTCAAGTCAGCCGCCTCCGTGGTCTTGTGGTAGAGCGTCCGCCCGGAGAGTGGAAGGTCCGGGGTTCGATCCCCGGCCGCGTCATACCAAAAGACGTTAAAAGATGGTACTTGTTGTTACCCTGTCTGGCGCTCGACGTTAAGGGGCTAAAACAAAGACTGGTCGGCTCGGAGTTAGTATACTGTGTCTGAGTGGGGTATTCATGTTAAACTGCGGCATGGTATCTCAGTGAGCTAGCACTATAAATCGGCATCAGTCCGGACTAGTACAAGCAGCCACAGACACACACGTGCATGCACATCGCTATATAAGTGCAATAATCTTGGACGCGACGTTAAACCAAATTTCATCTCACCTTCACCTGTTTCAAGTCAAATGTCTGACACTGTCATTCCTTACTGTGAAGTCGGTTGTGTATGTTAGTATGAACTGTTGACAGATTCTCGTTTTCAATATTCAAATATCACATGGAATGCAGCTTGTCTCTGTCACATCCTATGCTGCCATATCCCGAGATATGCTCTGACCCCAGCACTATCGTATGGCATGTCGTTCCTAATATCAACCACTGATCTGTCTGGTCCAGACTGAAACATTTATAGCTGCAATTCCTCTGACTGTGGCGTAAAACAACGCTCACCTATATACATTGACGCTATCGCATCAGGGGCGGTCGGGTAGCCTAGTGGTTAAAGCGTTAGATTGTCATGCCGATGACCCGGGTTCGATTCCCGACATGGGTACAATGTGTGAATCCAATTTCTGGTGTCCCCCGCCGTGATATTGCTGGAATATTGCTAAAAGCGGCGTGAAACCATACTGACTCACTCACTATCGTGTCAATATTATATTGTTGTGGAACGTCGTTGCATATATCTCCCTCCTCTGCATTAGCAGTCGTTGTGCAGTGAATCATAACGTTTGTCAACACAAAAAATCCTGAACAGGTCGTTTTTGGTAGACTTCGTGTGAATATATTAGAACGTTGAAGGGTAGTCGCCAATAAAGTTGTGACAGAAGAGTAATGTTGACAAGGTGATATACGCTTTGACAACGTGACAACATGCTCACTGAAAAAAAAGCGCATGGGCGTGTAGTTATGTCTAAAATGTACAAGGAAGTTGTATATTCCGGGAGAAATATCAGGTGACTGACTTTGTTGTTCTGAAGTGAATAGAGTGTGTTATCTTTTCAATGCCTGGTCAGGGATTATTACCCGAGTGTGTTTCCGTATCGAAAAAAAACCTGTAATATGAATAAGGTGGGGTGAAATTGAGTTTAACGTCGCGTCCAAGATTATTGCACTTATATAGCGACGTGCATGCACGTGTATGTGTGTGTGTGGCTGCTTGTACTAGTCCGGACTGATGCCGATTTATAGTGCTAGCTCACTGAGATACCATGCCGCAGTTTAACATGAATACCCCACTCAGACACAGTATACTGACTCCGAGCCGACCAGTCCTTGTTTTAGCCCCTTAATGCCGAGCGCCAGACAGGGTAACAACAAGTACAATCTTTTAACGTCTTTTTGTATGACGCGGCCCGGGATCGAACCCTGGACCTTCCGCTCTCCGGGCGGACGCTCTACCACAAGACCACGGAGGCGGTCGTAATATGAATAAACATTGATAGTTTGCGAGCTTTGGGGCTTTGCTTACTTGATAGTGAAGTCCTTACATAAACATATTAATATGTTATCTATACTGAATACCATACTCATTCTTGTCAGATACCATTTTCACGAAATGAGTGGACTTTCTATGGTATCTGACCGAGCGAAGTGCACGAGTTTCGTAAAATTGGTATCTAACGAGAATGAGTGCGGTATTTTATTCATTACCCACGTTAACTATATATGTAAGTGTAAATACATAACAACTTTTGTTCGTTGATAGACAAAACTGAAACCGGTTGGAAAATCTGGTTGCGCATGAATATTGATAGATGCTCAAATATGGGCATTGTTGACATTTCTCTGCATACGCAAAACATCAGCACAGACGCTCAAGATCCTTTTTGAAGAATTTCTTCAACTTATAGTTATTCAAGCGCCATGTTGTTAGTACCTGGGACACCTATAGGACAATTTACACAGTCACATTAGCGCCGCGCTTTGAATATCAGACCAACAGTCGATCACTCGCACTGCCGGGGTCCCGTCTGTGCAGTCAAAATTGTTCGGTTTCCTTGATTTTGTGTCCGAACCAGTTGGGAAGAGGGGAATAAGAGCGTTCGCCAAAGGCATTCATGTTATCTGTACCACCCTATATTGAAGACGTGAAAATCAACAAACTCACGTCAGCTTTGCATGTCAGTGACAGCTTCGAACGATCGAAGGGCATGGTCACCACCGGAATAAGAAAATACAATTAATTTAATTATGTGTTTTATTAGTAAATCTAATGTAACCAGGACACAATAATAAACTATCAGTAGCAGTAGCAGTGATAGAAGTAGGATAGCAGTAGCAGTAGCAGTAGTAGTAGTAGTAGTAGTAGTAGTAGTAGAAGTAGCAGTACGCAATTGTCGTAAAGGAATGATGATGCTGACATCGATTGCACCAAACAGGCTTATTAACAACAACGCAAAACACACACTTCAAGATTCATATGATGAATTTCTTGTTATGGTAACATTTTGGCATACATGTATGATCAATATTATTTAACATTATGAAGTATGAAAACACGTACATAAAACGTTCATCTATTCCAAAACATCATAATGTTTAAACAGCAGGATCGAATTCACACTTTTCCTTTAATGTTGAACATGCAGCGACATTCCATCGATGACGTCATACGGCGCCATGACGTCACTCAGTGAGGTTACAAT